GGGGGGGGGGGGGGGGGGGGAATAAAGGAGGGTATCTTTTATGGGATGTGGATTTATATGCCCAGAAACACCCACTCAGAATCAGATATTTCCTTTTACAAACCAAACATTTATCTAACATTTAGGGAGACGGATGTAAGCACGCCGCTCGCCAGTCGTTTAAAATGGCGGCTGGATCGTTTATTTGATCTAACAGATAAGAAGATTGTATCGTGAATCATTTCTCTTAGCTTGTCTCCCATGTGCACAGGTGTTACAGATTGTGTGCTGAAACCAAAAGGTACAAGAAGTAAAGCAATTCCCACCTGCGCAGGGAAGCAAAAAGTTCACGTGTAGATCTATTCCGGGGTGCGGAGATGTATTGCTTGACTTCAGATTGCTCTGACATTAGGGATTTACCTTAAAATGGCTTAAGAACCAAATCCATCACCTCTACAAATCTGTCTCGCAAATCAGTTATCTTAATAGATTATGGAAAATTGTAGTGACATGTATGAATTTCCTTTCCCCTTTTCTTTGAATTAGTTTTTTTTAAATGGGGAAGCTTTAAAGACCAAACTTCCCCTGAGAATAAACTTTTATACATGTACTTTGAATCAATCCTTTTTCCATCCCGGTAAGGATTTTACCGGATAGTGCCTAACGTTACTGTCGGAGTATGAAGCACAAGCTTCCCATCGCCACGCCGGTCCAGGCTGAGATATCAGCTAGCACATTATCCTCTTAGACCCAGGGATTGTTTGGTAATAAGGTCCATGAGCCACCACAGTCATTACACTCGACCAAATTGAGATGGGGGGGGGATTGGGGCAGTGACTGAGGAAAGCAAGACATCTCGATTTGCCCATTAAAGTTAATCATTGTTCCCTTGAAGTTCCCACGTTTACTTCCAGTTCCGAATGGCCCCCATGTCTTTTCCCCCATAATGTCAATTTTAAAAAACAATTAACATCACTATGTATGCGCACCACACTTTTTAAGCTATATTGTTATTAGCATTTTACATGTTTTTAACGTCGCCATGGGATGCCAGTATGATATTTTTGATATAAATGACATTATAATAATGTTATGTTGCTGCTGACAGACACACAGACAAAACCAACAAAAAGCATCATTAATGCAGAGTAATTTGAACAGGAATAGATGGGCCAAATTAATTTTCCAACAAAGAAAAAAAATTAACTGAACAATTAGATTTTATATAAAAAATCCTATGCTGACCTATGGTCACGAGTTGTGGGTAGTGACCGAAAGAATGAGATCGTGAGTACAAGCGGCCGAAATGAGTTTTCTCCGCATGGTGGCTGGGCTCTCCCTTAGAGATAGGGTGAGGAGCTCGGTCATTCGGGAGGGACTCAGAGTAGAGCCGCTGCTCCTCCTCATTGAGAGGAGCCAGATGAGGTGGCTCGGGCATCTGCTTAGGATGCCTCCTGGACGCCTCCCTGGTGAGGTGTTTTGGGCATGTCCCACTAGGAGGAGGCCCCAGGGAAGATCCAGGACACGCTGGAGGGACTATGTCTCTCGGCTGGCCTGGGAACGCATCCGGATTCCCCCAGAGGAGCTGGAGGCAGAGGCGGCGCTACCATTAGGCAAAAGTAGGCGAGTGCCTAGAGCCCCGAACTGCCAGGGCCCCATGACTTAAGTCGTACTAAGTATTTTTAGCAAGCAATTACAACTAACATCTGAAATTATTAAAAATCCACTTGCTAAAACAGCATTAGAATGCCATTACGCCACGCCAGTTGCTGAAGAGTATTAGTCACCCCCCTGCCGCCCCCAACACACACTGCAATGGTACATTCCGTGTGACGAAAGCGGAAGGTTATTCACTGCAGTTTGATTAAGGAGCGGGAGACGTACTACCAGGGGCGCCGTAAGGGGGAGGAAAGCTAGGACGATTCCAAGGGCCCCTGAGTGACAGGGGCCCTAAAAAATTAGGAAAATAACTGGATTGGTTTGGACTGGGGGGCCTAATATGATATGCTTTCATGGGGCCCAAAATCTCTA